ATATAAAAGGAGAAAAATAGAGCCTAATAGTAAACAAAGAAATATGCAGGAGACGACAGGTGAAATGTAATATTACCTTCCTGCTCTTTAAGTGGTAAAAATCAATTAAATCATCCGGCTGTGCATGAGATATCTGAGCCCTGGCTTTTATCTCTTCAGTTTCATGGCGTTGCTTTTCAGCCAGCATTTTCACAAAGCTTTGTCTGCAAGATCGCAACCATATCTTCCTCACTTCATCGCCTGTATTGCTTAGCAATCTAATACAGAGGACAATCCTGTCACGTGAATCATTATCAATTGGATGAGGAAGAAACGAAGATTCACCCAATTGCAACATGGAAACCATGATCAATAATGCCTGAGTGAAGGTTCTGTTCACTTCGACTTTGGAAGGCTGAACCTCCTCTAGCCTCAAAACAAGCTTTGTAAGTGTGCAAGCCACAACAGCCCCAAGGAAAAAATCGCCAGAAAGAATTAAGGATCTCAAATTTCCAATAGACGATAGGGATCCCTGAACAAGGGTTGGTGGGGACATTGCAGTTTCGAGTGCAGCACTTTGGGTAGCATAGGTACCATCAGCAAGAATGGCAGGCCTTCTAGAGGATACTGTGGTTGAGCTAACTGGCTGTGAAATTTTTGAAGACTCTTGTGCCTCTCCTTCCTCTGAAGCTGTGTAGAAAGGAAGGTCACCAAGACAATGTTTGATGGTAGAGATCCCACTCTCAACTTCAGAGAGTGAGAGACAGTACTCTCCAATGATCCAAAGCGCACAAGAACACACCCTTGCTGCACGGATCTGATAGAATGTATCCAACAGTCTTGTAATGATGGAAACTCGCAATTTGGGATTTGTTTCAATGATCTCACGTACAAAAACAACAACATCCATTGCTGAAGCCACGTTGGTATCGCTCAAGAAATCCATCAAGAGATGTACCACTGTACTGGCAACCTCGGGGAACTTAATTGCACATGTATGTATAGCCTGCACCAGCATTTGCCTATATTCTCCATTCTTCTCATGCTCTCCACTTTGTGTCTTCACCACCTCCTTCTTCAGTAACATAACGACTTCATCAATATTCCTAGGAGTGATCAATTCAAGGGCGATATCTATAGTTTTCCTCCTAATATCAAGATTTGGGCTGGAAAGTGCTCGAAGAACATCCATTACTAGTTCGACCATGATCTCCCTATGAGATGACTTAAGCTCATTAAGCCTATCAAGAACAATAAGCTTTACGTTGTTATCACTTTGGGAGAGTAAAAGCTGGCAGTAAGTATTTGCAGCGGCTCTAATAGCCGTGGGAGCTGAGGAAAGAGACACAAGAGTTCCAGCACATTCATAAATGACGGCATTTGATGGGGCATTCAACAAAGATATAATTATCTTAATGTATTTGCCTTTCTCGGCCTTATTGGCCCGGCAAACCTTCTTAATTAATTCTAAGACAACCATCTGAAGCTGCTCCCCCCAATCGTTCATCCTATCGATGTTGGTAAAGAGATAATTGATGGCCCTTTCTTGGGCACAGTTAAAGAGCATAAGAAAAGCATTTCTCTTACTGGAGTTGTCCTGCTCGGAGGTCAAGAACTTCTCGATGATCTCAGGTGCACTATCCAGTAATTGCTCCCCTTGAGGAAGTTTGTAAACAGACATGACGGCAAGCACCGCATTCCGCCGAACGAATGGGTGGCGATGCTCCAAATTGGTGAGAATGGAAGGGATCAGCGGCTCTATGATCTCGGTCTCATTTAAACGGCAGAGAAAGCGCAGCGTGACGCCACGAATATACTCGTTGGGATGCTGAAGGTTGTTGCGGAGGTTCTGGCAAATAAGAATCATCTCCGGCAGAACTTTACCACGGGAATCAGTCTTGTCGATGATCTCCAAATAAAGAAGGAGAAGCTTCTGGATGGTGTGGTCATCAGAGGGTAGCACATAGCGTATAATTGTGATGAAAAGTTGTGGAATGGTTTCCCCATTAAGCAACAGCATAATCGCCTTTTTCAATGCTTCAATCTTGGATTCAATGTCATTCCCTTCCAAAGCTTCTTTGATCTCATTCGCCATGGCTGGGGTGCCCTTGTCGAAGTGCACCAATAGAGTGCACGACTTCTCCATAACTGCTTTTCTCTGTGTTTGAGATCTGAAGAGAATTAGGGGAACCGAATTGTGATGAGACAGAGGTTGAATTCAGAAATCTCAGATCTAGGTGAATTCAAGGCACTACCTGTTTTGCTTGAGCTTGGTGAAGGAAATTGGATCTCCRCAAGTGGTTGATGTGGGAACTCTCAAGTCTCAACCTGTAAAGAAGAAACGCAGATCTGTCGTTTCACGAAGCAAGCTATAACTTGTATCCGGTTCGGGTCGGCCTAATTAAACCGACAAGACCGACTTTTCGTTTCAATTTTTAGTTCTACCCTGCTTCCTTCCATACGCGCCACTCCTCCTCCCCTTTATTGCAACGGAAAGGACTTCCGACCCGGGGAGAGAAAAAAACCCAAATCACCCTTAAAAATATTTTTTTATTTGTAGTACAATAAATAGGATAGGAAATTCAAAGACATATCTCTATTACTGTGCTAAGCTACCCTTAAAAATCTTGTGATAAACAATTTCTCCMTTGCTGAAGATGGAACAATGGCTTGGGTAAATGTCATACCTATTTTTGAAGCGTAAATGGAATAATTACGGGCCACTATGTCACTATTCCGCCAAAAAATTTACTTTTAGTTCAAAATGATCAATATGTAGAATTAGAACAAGTGATTGCTGAAATTCGCGCGGGAACATACACTCTTAATTTAAAAGAGAGGGTTCGAAAACGTATTTATTCTGACTCAGAGGGAGAAATGCTAATTTTGCTATGTGTACATCATCCTGTAGTAAATTCAAGATTTCATGCTAGAGGGAGCACAAACTCATATATATAAATAGTTTTTATGACTTTGACTTAGTAGCTCTTTAACTTTTTCATCTATAATTGAAGATGYCTACGTSTATTTTAATGTTTAGTTTCAACAGATATCAAGAATTTTTAATATTAAATTTATATCCAAATATAATATATAAAATAATTTTTGATGTATTTACTATAAACATTCAAATTAAGCAATAATTAAAACTAAGCTTCTGTGAATTGTAGAAAAATTACCGAGTCCTTGAGTTTTTACTTATAAGTCACTGGTTATTGAGTTGGCCCTGARTTTTTTATGTATTTTACCCCTTGCATGTTGAGAAACAAACAAAAAAGTTGTTGATAACTTGATAGAGGGTTTGATATGTGAGGATAAAACGGATAGAAAGGAGGTAGAGAAGCAATTTTTTTTTTTAATTTCAAACGCCACGTCATATATTTTTTTGTTCCTTGTTACGCTCGTCTTGTCAGATTTATTTTAAGTCCAATAAGCCCTTTTGTTTTGTTTTGTTTTTTTTTGTTTTTATGTTTTTTGTCAATAGAGATTAGAGAGGTTATTTAAACCTATTTCTCAAAATCAAAAGCCAAAGTGTATCTTTTGAAAGTTCATAAAAAAAATAATTTTCTATAAATCATTATATAGGGTATTATGATCTTTCGAAAGTTCATAAAAAAAAAAATTTCTATAAATCATTATATAGGGTATTATGATATTAGTTTGTTTATTATAAAGGCTAACATTTTTGTAAAATAAATACTAAAATTTATAACTTTTGTAAAAGTTCTCGTATCATATCAAATTTACACCAAAATATAAGAGATTTGACAAAACCTATCGAACATAAATATTACAAGCATAGCACGAAGGTAGTCACTATGGCATATAGAGTTTTTTTTTCAGTTTGATTTCTTCAATATAACTAATTGCAATAGTAAAATTGTAATATGATCAACTTTCAACTAAAATCATATTTGTTTGATGAAGAATTTTGACCAAACTCTACAAACCTTGGTTCGAGTGAAGGATGGCCTGGCAGACGAGTTGGAAGTATGATGAACAAGAGACCTGCAAAACATAAGACACTTCGACATCCAAGTTAGTGGATGACCGAGCTATATACGAGAGAATATAATTTCGAGTACCTGAGAATGAAGTGAGAGGTTCCTATTCATAAGCAGAGCTTCCAGCAGGACTTTTGATAGAGCTCCAATAGCTCTTTAAGGTTTCGGAAACGACAGCGTATTGTCGTGAGACRTGTTGGAGAATCAATCCTAGTAGAGCATCCTGTGATCGGTCCGACCAKTTACTTGGGATGCCGATGAGTGAAAGACATGTTTGACTCGACAGCTAAGAAAATATACGACCCAATCATCAGTTCGTCTCGACCCGTTGGATGAGGTTCGAGGCAACGAATCTTGAGTGTCTCTAATTTAGAACTAGCCATTATTTTCACCGTATTAAGGACTGTYATACGGTCTGCCATGGAGTTGGTGAGAAATCACCRCTAACAATACTAAATTCAGATGGAAATTTGTTGGGACAAAAGAGATTTCCAAATTGAATTYCAAATTTTTTATTTTAATTCCAATCAAACACAAGAAATTATTATCATTCTAATTAAAAAATCCTCATAAATCCGAGCGTTCTGTTTGTGAAGTTCTTAGCGTACCTTCAAGGCTTCACGGGTCCTTACCTTTTTATTTAAATGACTGTTGCAAGGGTCGAAGTTCGAACCACAAACAGGGGGTTTCTTAACAAAATTGCAATGCATATATAATTTAACTACAAATGCAAAATATATATAATTTAACTTCAGTTCTGGGCGCAGGTACCCTTTCGCTGATCCTCCAGCGCTGGGTAGAGGAGAAATTTCGATCAAAATAAGAAACATCGCCGTTGCCGGGGATCGAACCCGGGTCACCCGCGTGACAGGCGGGAATACTCACCACTATACTACAACGACATTGCATCACAGAAATTTTGTTAATTTGTTGTTTTAGTAACTGATTTATTTATTTTTATTATTATTTATTTTTTTTTTTTGCATATAGCAACATTTTCTTTAAAAAATCCCAGGAATATTTCTTGAAGTACTGGTGAATTTTTCTTGCTTCATCGACTCCAACGCACCGCCATTTCCCAGAGAAGAAATCGCGCCACCTGGCCATTAAATTCATCTGGGGCTTAATTTCGTCTTCCCTGCGCTTTGCTGCATAAACCATCTCAGAACTCTTTAACTTATTTACTCAAAAATACTGTTTCTGTAGTTTACGTATTCAATTTCACCTTCAGAAAAAGCAGAAACTTCCCGGAGAAATGCTCGGAGATGGAGGAGAAGCTCCTTGCAGGTATGATTCTTGCCCTACCTTCTCCTTAACTATGGGTTTATGACCTCAATTATTAGTTTCTCCACTGGTACATTCAGTTTTTGGACTTCAAATTTTGGTTCCCGATCATTGAATCGTGCTGCATTCAGTCGGTTCTTGTCAGCGTCTTGATTTTCGATACATTTGCATTCTTGGAGACAGCAATGATTAGTTATGTTTTGCTCGATGCTGTGATGGATCGTGATCGCTAACTAGGTGGACGAGAGTTATTGTTATTAGATTATTGACCATTGTTTTGTATCGACTAGTTCAACTATCTCGCTTCTTTCATTGGTGCTTAAGCTTTGCTTGAAGTTGAAGTAAAGCACAAGTAAACGAAATTAATACGGTTCCTTGTTTAGTTTTGTGATTTGAATGTTTAATTTGTAGATATGAATTGTTGAGCATGGTTAAGAAGCACTCCAACTTAATAGGACAGACTGCGGTAGATGAGCAAGATGCTTCGGATGTAGAAATGGATCCACGTTTTTGGCACGATGTTATGGATGTGTATTTTATCCGTGGTAAGGAATCAAGGGGACGACAAGACGACGATCTCGTATTTTTTGTTAGAAAAGTGGTACAAATTTGCTATTGTATTCTGTGTATTCCATTGTCCTAGATCCTTTATTTTATTTACTCAGTGTGGTATTGAAGTCTAATACACTTTCTGACTTATATTTTGAAAGAAATCTCAAGGATATGGCAATGATGATGATAATGAGAGCACCTCTCCTTATTTTGTTCGCAGGTGGGCATCTAAGGTATATAACCTCCGTTCTGGGCAGTAATATTTTATGCATGTAGTATTTGTTTATTTATCTTTGCCACTTTTTTCCCCTTTTTAAAGTAGTGAATGGTGTTTAACGCACCTTTATATGTAAATATCTTCTATGTTCTGATATTTGTACCTCTTAACCTCTTGCCTAAATAATGTATATGACTACAGAATGAGAGTTTCTTGTTTTCCTTAGTTGTTCATGCTATATGTCTGTTTACTGTTAACTTTGTTGCTTATAGTTGCTGCTATAAATCAGACTCGGCAGGTCTTCAGGAATTAACTTTGCCACGTTTAGACCTAGTAAAGTGCAGTAATTTTTGGTGTGATATCTCTTGGCTATCAAGATAATAAGCTCTATTTTTATGTTAATTAGTTGGATAATTTGGTTGGAGAGGTTTCAGTAGATGTGGATTGGAGGCGCTCATTTTACTTGAACTTGATTGCTCACACTTCGTTTACTGTGACTGTGGCGATTTGTAGGTATGGACTCTTTATTTGCACTCTTTATTTTCCTAATAGACTCTTTATTTTCCTAATAGACTCTTTATTTTCTTAATAGACTGTCTGATTTGCTTGAAAAAATAGCCTGCATTTGTCTTGAGAGGTTTGATTGTGATATTATTATTACTATGCTAATCACATCTTCTGGCAGGTTTGCTAATAATTCATAATTCTTATATGTTATATTTTTTTTCCTTTTATGAACTGACATTTTAAATTATCTGCAGCATTCRAACTTTTTTTTCCTTGTTATCTGGTCAAATGCTTTTGTGACTTTCGCTAGTGTCATCTTTGTATATCATATCATCCTATGGGAATGGGAGTAGATTATTTTGGTTTGGAACAATATTTGCATATTCTTGCAATGGTTTACAGTCTCGTGTTTGTACCTATTTTTCTTTTGAAAACTTAACGAAGTTCATATTTTTGGCGTGTAACATTATTATTTAATATCCTTCATGAAAATGACCAGCATATATATACATATATAGGATTATATAATTTGCTTAGTAATTATTGAGGTATATTCCTTCTTACTTTTCCATGAAGCTTCATCGCCATTGATTTTTTGATCTGCTTGTTGATTCTTTTTCCCATTTAATTCCTTCTTCAGTCATCAGGTTCTTCGCAATCATCAAGCTGGACATAGTACATCATTGTCTCCTATTTATAAGGTATCTTTTATGTGTTTAAGGATTATATGTCTTGTAAAGAACTCATGCCTGGAAGGGAACATACTTTTGATGTTGATATGATATATAAATATACTAGGATTATGTACTATGATGACTTTTAGTACTTGGGTTTTCACCTGTTTCTTTAATGACTATAGTGATCCTTTAATGAAAACCATAATATAACTGCTGAAGAAGTAATTTAATTTATGCTCACTTAAATGTGGTTCTTTGCAAATTTTGCTCTTTGAKAATTTTTATTTGCATCATTACTTAATTTTTGAATTCGGTTTGGGGCTCTCTGCAGGTTGTAAAGGCTGTTTATGCATCTCCTAGCCGTGTCAATTTTCATTTGGATTCTAAAAAGGTAAATTTAATTGCTGTCCAGCATGACTGTTCCATCAATGTCAGTTTGACTTTATTCTAAATTATATTCAGGAGGTGGAGACTACGCCTGCATATCCAGATATTTGTTTTGCAGTTGATGACTTCGACTCCACTTTTGATGCAGTGGTGATGTTCCTAATTGATCACATGATTAGTTTATTTGTTTTTCCTTCAATGCCAACATGCACTGAGTCATCGAACTGGGAACTGGAAATTGGACACGGTCCTACTTTTTGTAATTTATATGAAGAAAAAATTCCATAATTGTGCACAATATTTGACCTGTAATATTATTGGTAGTTTTTTAAACTTCAGAAGCTCTTGTTCTATTAATTCCATCTATGTCTGAAATATCAGTGTTTTTGAAATTCAGGTGTTGACAGAGACTGACCATTGCTATTGTGTACTTCTCAACGCACATGATGGTGCAGCTTTTCCTGGAAAGGATAATGCAGAAAATTGCAATTCTAGCGATGTTACGGAATTGAATATGGACTCTGATTCCCAAAGTAGGAAGAATTCCAAGGTTTGGGTTGGTTCACTTTCCAGCAGTCTAACTACTACAGTTTACTTGTTGTCAAGGGCTTCTGAGTTGTCTAAGCATTGCATTCATGTAGATCTCACTTTTTAAAATAATAAATGAAACTTTCATGTTAATGTAAAAATCTTGATGTTGTACTACATTCATGCTCTTTATGTTCAGTTGCTCGAGCTTAAGCMTAAGCTATTAGAGAGATAGTATGTTAAACAAAGAGGCATATGTTAAAGGACTGTATCTTTACGGTTGAATCAGTTGACGGATAGGACTAGGACTAGGAGGGTCTTACTTCCTCTCTCTTTAAGAAATTTAATCAGCTTGGTTCCTGGTACCTTTGTTTCCCCTTATAATTAGGATAGTTTTATCAAGGTTTTTAGTTGAATTGATTGTAGAGCTTTTCTTATTGTTATTTCTGCCATATTTTTTTCCTATGCCATATTTTTTTCCTAAGGGACTACTAGAATCTACACTGTATGGGTGATGGGGAATACTTGTTACAAGTAATCCATATTGCAGAAAAGGGAGTTCTTCTTGTTATATATTCTAAAATTCAATTTCCCTTGGAATTCAATAATTCTGGTTTTTTGCTTTTCAATAATCTGTAAATGCATGTTTTAAGCGAGCAGAAGCTTTGAACTGTGTTGAAATATGAGCATTGACATGAACCAAGGAATTTCCTCATGAGTATTGGATAATGAATACTCACGTGGTCCTAAATGCAGCAAATTACTCTCTTCTCTGGATTTGTCAGCTACCAAATGGTTCGAGATGCATATGACGGTATATTTTTCTAAAATATTTTTTTTCTTGAACATGGAATAAAATTTATYGTACTGAGTTTCCCATTCTTATTCAATGGGGAAGAACTTTCTCCTGATTAAATTTCTCCAGTGCATTCGTTGATATGGGGTGTTGCATCAATTCATTGTTACCCGGCAGTATGATATAGGATGTAATGACATAAGTAACTCACCCTTGTTACTGTTTTTCCTGAATTAATAGTGGACGTTTTATGTCCATAATTTGAATAAAACAGACCATTTGTGTTTACTTATCATACATGTAAGTAATTCTAGAGTTTGAACTAGCCTACCTCTTGATACCTGTTCCTTTATTTTTGATTCATCAAATCCTAAGTTCCTCTATACAATCTATCTGCAACTCTTTCATTCAACCACTTTGATGGACATATGCCATTAAGAGAAACAACTATAGGACTCTTCAAAGTGTTKTTTGTCCTCAGAAATTGAAAGAATGCTGCGATGATATTTCTTCTTAGCACTCTTTCCATCTTGCTCTGCTATCATCTTAAGGTAGCCTTCGTTTAACTGATGTTTCTGCTGAATYATTTATAATTAGTATTGCATAAGAGAGAAATTCTTGATAAGCAGTATTAGATTTAATGTGGTTATATATATATAGATATATACATTTTTAATTATTGTAGTGACTTTTTACTGCTGTTTTGTGGTAGCTGGATCATTGTTCAATTTTAGTATACTCTAAACTATACTAATAGATTTTTTTAGCTTGCTTATTTGAGGCTTTTCTCTCTGCTTTTCTCCTCTCTTTCTCTGATCAACAGCTGGCAAGTCTAGATTTGGCAGCCTTCTCTCACTAGGTCATGCTTCTGGCAAAACAGACAAAATTTACATGAAGGGTCCTGGAGGACGTGGGGAAGTTGAAGTTGCTGTTTCTGGTGTTGCAGGTAGCCAAAGAAATAGGCTTTTTTTCCCCGATGTTATCAAGCCTTTCCTATTCTTTTACTTGAGTAGTAGAAGTGGACTCCCCCATCATTARAAGGGAAAGACACCATTTCGGTGGTTGTCAATTGACTAACTGCTTATGTCTACTACATTTCCTTGCAATATCTGTTGCCACCACTTGCATATACATGGTGGCCAGGTGGCATGGCATTCCAAAATCCTATTTGTATTATCAGACAAATTATTCTTGAGTTCTTTTTTKATGAGAACTTCTTTGGTTGCAAGATACAGAGAAGCTTAGAATATCATACTCAAATGGATGGTCAGTCAGAGGTTGCTAATTACTGTGTAAAACCTTAGCCTTTGTTTTTTAACATCTGCTTAACCCAAGTCTTCAAACAAATTGTTACCTTTGGCTTAGTACTGGTACAGCTCTACTTTTTATTTCTCCTTTTAAGTCAGTGCCGTTTGATCTGCTATATGGAAGACCCCTGCCTCCTTTTCTTCGCTATGGCTCTTGCCCAATGCCCATCCCACAAGAGGAGAGAGCTGCAGCCCCTCATGATCTTTAATCCCACCCTTGCATGCTCAGTTAAAATGAAGGGGCGTGCACTTTTCAGCTGGGGACTTTATGTAGATAGACTCCTATCCTCAAGTTCACTTGTTCATGAACATTATAAAAAGTTGGCATTGAGGTACCATGGCCAGTTGCTTATTATTGAAAAGGTGCAATTGCTCATTGTTTGCGAACTCCCCGTTTTTTGTATATCATAATTGTGCCTTGCAGTAGGAAGCTCGATTTATCCTTCRCCCCTACCATGTTGACTTCAGACTTTGCACTCTGTCATTCTCGATCAATATCTAACATTTTACCCTGAAGATAAGGGGATAAAGATTGGGCAGAGGTGTTAATAGAACCAGACCTGATTAGGTTGGAATATGTTCAGAGAGGGTGGGAAAACAGTAGTTAGGAAAGGGTTAGGAACCTTCAGTAATGGCTGCTTGGCTGGGATAATTTGTCAGGGAAGCTTGATAGTATGGTAGTTTCTGATGTACAAATAAAAKTGGGTAGCTATGATGAAGAAGGAAGGTATCAGTAAAGGAGACACCCAAGCCTCTCGAACAGCTCTTGACTCGATAAGAATTCTCTCTAGTTCTAACTGATCATTCTAACCATATTTGATTTAATTGTGCTCTTGTTYCCCCCTTTTATTTGACATTTGAGTGTGTTGTGTTTGCTTCAACTTATTTCTGGGAAGGGATTTCTGAATTTAAAAAAAAAAACTAATATGGATATCTTACGTGTAATATTCTCATATCCATCGTTGATTAGATTAAGTCATTAGTTTGTTGATTTTGTATTTGAGGAATGGAAAGGTGGAGTTTAGTTATTTCTTCTTCCGAGTCTCTTTTTTACTGATAAGTCTATGCTTTTTTTTGGAGACTTTGATATTGTTGAGTGTTGGTTTCTCTTTTCCTGTTTTCATCGATGCACAAATTCCTGTTGTTCGGGAGTAAATGGTTCTACTTCTTTTTTCTGCATCAATTAGATTCTTTCTGTTTAAAATAGTGCAATGAAACCAAGTGCAATTTCAAAAATTAAAAATTCTCAGAAACCATTTTATATTCCTTGTTTTTACTTTATAAAAAATCTCGTTTTTCACTCATGAACCAAATGGTCCCCCAAAAGTTTATTCTTTTAGGAAGCTTATCTTACTGGCAAGTCCTAAAATTGTTAATATTATGGTAGTGTTGGTAGTATCAGTTTTATAGCAAATGAAGGAGAGAGAATGAGCATCTTATAGGTTTAAGTTATTTTACTGTGTGGATAATATTTTGCCACTTCTCTTTTCATATGGGTGACACTTGATTCCATTTGCCTAWCTAGTATTTCTGATCAAATGGACAGCACGTCCAGAAATTGTTTGTTGTAACTAATATGTGTTTGTATTATAAAATCAGATCAAAGCCTGCAGGACTCTGGGCCATTTTCGCCTGTGGTATCAAAGAGAGGATTTGGGATTGGTTCAATTGTTAGGAGAGCAGCATCTGTAGCATCCGTGGCTGCAAAACAAGCTTATGCAGCTGCTAGTAGCAATAGTTCTGATGACGAGATGATACCTCTCAAGTGTTGCTTGATGTCCATTTCATTGCCCTGGGAATACATCGCACATGATCTTTTGTACAAGGTAAGATCATTGTTAACTGTTGTAACTTTGCGGTATACATATTCTGCGATATTAATCCGGTTCTTGCCAATTTCCCTCTAGATAATTAACGTATTCTTCTTGAATATAGGTGATTTTATTGAATAATGAAGTTAAAATTATATCCTGAACACCCCTTTATTTATAGAAGTAGTTCCTAACAGCCTTATAACCACTCCCAACGGTAATAAATTAACAACCCAGGGGATTTAAAATTAATAAAAATCTGATAAGCTGTTAGCCTTTTAGTAAATAAACTTTTGCCGCKAGAATCTACCAAGGTTCTGAATTACGTAAATTCCCATCCCTGAGGAAGAATAACTCATCCTCGAGTTAAGAAGCCAACTGAAAATCATCCAGAGCATGATATTCAAAGAGGTTGGAAACAGGGAATGTTGGTGTGATCTTGTATTTTTTGTGGAAGATCAATGTAGGTATTCTCTCCATATTTTGCTAAAATGGGAAATGGTCCAACCTTCTTCGAATGAAGTTAATTGTACATGCCGTAGGTAATCTAGATTTCCTCAAATGTATCATGACGAGATCCCCTATTTGAAATGATTAAGGCTTTCGGTGTTCGTTGCTGTAGCTTTATACATGGTATTAGATTTTTCGAGGTGTTCATGGACTTCCTTATGCAATTAGACCGTTCATTCAGCCATTTATTCAGCTTCCTGGTTTAATCAATAGTGGAAGGTACATTAGTTAGAACCACAATTAATCGAGGGAGTTTAGTATAAACAATTTCAAATGGAAACTTTCCTGTTGAATGGTTCTTTAATCTTTATATGGTTGTTGGTGAATTCTGCTTGGGCAAATGATAGGTCCTATTGCCTTGGCTTATCTCCACTGAGACAACAAGTAAGATAAGGTTTAATAACCGGGGTCAGAACTTGGCTTGGAGTTGTTGGCAAATTCTGCTTGGGCAAATGTTGATATTGGTTAAAAAGAAGTTGTTCAAAGGAATCGGTTCTTCATCAATCTGAACATCTTGGGCCATGTGCGAATGGGTCTCTTTCCATACCTCTTTCTATTAGTTCGGAGTTGTTTCCACTTCGAAGCTCCTCCTTTTAGCAACTAATTTAACCTTTTTATCTTTCGGGGTATTCATGTAATCAAAAAAGTTTTTCACATCTTCGATCCAATCAAGATCTGTCTTTCCGTTGAATGTTGGTAAGTCTATCTTCATTTTATAATCAGAATTTCTAGCTCCTTGTTGATCAGTAGGACCTTCCAGCCTCCATTGTTCTTGAAAGCCATAAGCTGGCTGTTGATACATTTCTTCTTCATCACTGAAACTGTCCAAATCTTGATTTACAGGGCCTTCAAACCGTGTTTCTTGGGGCCAATACTGTTGAAAGACGATTCTTGGATTTTCTTGGGTATTATCAGCATTTCTTGGGGCCTTCTTGCCCGTGGATTCAGCTGTTCCTGTCTTCTAAAATGGGCGTTGTTCCCATTTCTTCGTACTTCTTGATTATTTAGATTGGGCATCTGTGAGGAGATTTGTTCCAATTTCCCAACATTGTTTCCATCATTTGCTGCAAGTCATTCATATCCTTCTGGAACTCTTCATTGAATCTTCAATGAGTAGGATTCATCGGGTTAAATAACCTGGGTACAAAGCCACAAGGGGGTTTTCTAATCTGGTGTTAATGTCACCATTGCTGGAGGTAGGAGGAATTTTCTTTCCTGCCATCAGGGTTCCTTCCCTTTGATACCACTTTACGTATTCTTCCTGAATATAGGTGATTTTATTGAATAATGAAGTGAAAATTACATCCGAAACACCCATTTATTTATAGAAGTAGTTCCTAACGGCCTTATTACTACTCCCAACGGTAATAAACTAACAACCTGGGGGATGTAAAATTAAAAAATAAATAAATCTGCTAACTAATTATTATAGCCGTTAGGCTTTTAGTAAATAAACTCAGCCATTAGAATTGTACTAAGACCACGAATTAAATCAATAATACCTTATTATGTTGCATGGCAACGTAACAACTTTGCCAAGTTTCTTGAACATCTTAATGTCGTAGACTTACTTAAAGCTCTTTAGATCAAAGATGCAGCTAAAAAAAGTTACATCAAGCCCATACTAGGATGTCGTTAGTTGGCTAACCACGTCATCACCAGCAAATCCTTAGTCTTCCACATATGGTCAGGATGGGTGCCTTCTAGATGTGGCCATRCAACCCAACATTTCCTTCCCTCGCATAGATGAGCATCTCCGATAGCTTTTTTTGTTTTTTGTTTTTAATTTTATTTGAGAAACGTCTCTACAAAGCTTTCACTTAAGAAAAGTTGTGGCCATTGAAATTAGTGGTTGGCACTGAAGTGAAGGGTTACCAATTATAAGGTTTTGATTCTGGGAGGTGGTTTATGGATGTCAGAATTGGGATTGAGATTGGTATCTATTTTTTAGGATTGATCTGGTAATATACTGATGGTTATTTCTTGTCTCTCATTTCTCATTTTATTTTTTCTGTTTTTTCTTAAAATCTTTTTAGTAGGGTGAGAAATATTTTTTCTGTTTTTTTTTCTTTTTAAATCTTTCTAGCAGGGTGAGAAACAAAAATATATTTGGTTAMTAATTTTTTTTATTCTTGTTATCTTTATTACTTAAAAAAAATAGATTTCTTTTCCTTGGGTTTTTTTAATGGAGAATTTACATGAAATTTAATTTTTTAAATAAATAATTAAAAAGTTATGTCATTTTTACTTTTATGCAATTTATGAGTAAAAACAATAAAAATGACTATCTCATTAATTTCTGGAAATTTTGAAACAAGAAACTAAGGGTGCGTTTGGTTGGTGATTAGAAAATAGAAATYTGAAAACAAGGGATTCAATTTGTTTTCAGTGTTTTCAAATATGTGTTTGGTAGCARATCTGAAAATTGAATCTTAAATTAAGAAATTGTTCCAACTTGTGTTTAGAGATATTTTTGTAAATTAGTAGTAGTTACCCATTAAATATTTAGTTTAATCTAAAATAATATTAATTAATTTATTAACATTTTTTGTTGTAAATTTTGTATGATTATTATTTTACAATGTTGTATAATTTATAATATATTATATTTTACCTGTTTTAATTTTAACAAAAAATGAAATGAGTTTATAATATGAATAATATATTTATCAATGTTTTTATCTTTTTTATGCAATTCTGCATTTTTAAAGTTTCAAATTCAAATTTTGAAAAYGTTGAAAATTGTTTTCAGAATTTCCACGATTTGGTTCATAGAATCTGAAAACAATTTTTAAAAATAAAATTTTCAAAMACTGCCAAATGTATATTCATTGAATCCATTTGATTCAGTCAAGAAATAGAATCAATGAAATAGAATTGGGATTGTCAATGCCAAAAAGAGCATAGCTAGCATATATTTTTAGTCAAGAGGTCGTGGGTTCTATCCCCCRTCTCCACATGTTGCACCTAACAAGAGAGAGAATCCGGATTGCCAACCAAACCAGCCCTAGTTTTTCTCATAATTTATATACAACTTTGGGGAGAGTGACAGGTGTTAGAATTGTTTATGTTCAGTGAGATCGCTTGGGTTGGCAGGTCTAGAGATTAGATACCAGCGTCACTTTCCATGAAAAATTAGTGGAATATATATATATTGAGAATGAAATTTGGTTGTTATTTTCTCCTTCTGACCGTAACCACAACCAATTTTTCTGCGCACAGAATAAGCTTAATAAGCCCGAAGTAAGCTGAAKCATTGCATACTCGGTACTGATTAGTCAAAAGAAAGTATGGGACAAAAGAAGTTTTGGAACAGCATAATTAGGAATGAATCCTTAGTTTTCGATTTCATTACTAAAGCAAATTTTAGTTACGGCCAAAATTGTCCATCTTGATGTTTAGCACTACATGTAAAAGAATACCCATCTTGGCATATCAGATATAGAAAGCTGTAGTTTGTCATTTTTCTTGGTACACTCATAGCACTTTTGGTTACGGATTTACCTATTCTCTTAAAAATGATCACTAACTTCTATAGCCATCAACCAGGGAGGTCCGCCGGTGAACTTGTGAGCATCATTGCTTTCCATCACTGAGATATGAACAGAAGTGGAACTCATCCTTGAAGGCACCAAAGATTTAGGAGGAGGTATTCCTTGTATGCACACAACACCAAAGAACTATTTGTAAATTTTAATTGTATTTGGATTATTTATGTTTTCTGTTTGCATAGTTTTGTGCCTGGTAATACAGAGGACTCTTGCTGAAGAGACATTGTGCATTTTAACTCTGTAGCAAGCGTTTGATTCAATTCATAACACCTACTTAGCAGCCGGCACAATCTTGAATCTTTTTCTTTTTCTTTTTATTGACAAAGGTAATGGGAGGTGAGAGATTCCAACTCATGATTAGTAGTTTAAATTAAACCAATTTGTCTTCATTAGTTGAGTTGTTCCAATATGTTATTCAACAGATGGACGGCAAACAGTTTGCATTGCTTCTTCGTTAAGAAGTTATTCTGTGATCTGTATTTCTTTCTTTTACCAATGGGCTGGATGACTATCTTCTCGTATATGAAAGGACTTTTTTTCTCTCTAAAAAAAAGTGTTCTAATTTTGAGATATTTGCATTAGACTTCAAACGATTTCTTTGCGGCTTTCAAGCCTCAACTACTTTTATGTTTTTATCCACTCTTTACCTTATTGGAACTTGAGTCCATGCTTAAAGCGTGAGCAAGATCAAAATACTTGGTTAACAAGTTTTTAGAGCTTGCAATCGACAYGGAGGCCAAGGTTGTTTTGTATCTTCGAAGGTCCCTGATTGTCTAACTTTATTGTTCTGGTAAAAGTCTGATCTAACACACGAGCAATCTGTGCTCAAAAAAGCAATTCATAGATACCAAGTATGAATGACGCTTTATGGAGCATATTTGATTAATACCCACTTTTCTGTCCGTATCTAGCTTGGAAATATATTTTTGCAATAACAAAATTGTATGTGCATTGAGATACGCGTTAAAAGAAAGCAAATTGTGGCAGTGTTGCAGTTAGGTTTATAAAAGCAACTGAAAAGGAGGCACCGGATGGCATCTCAAGTTTCTGGCAGCATGGTGTGTCTACTTGAGGTAAAGAAAACAGGGTAAAACACTCGCTTCTAAGTTCTAATGCCATGTTAATTTTCTTCAATTCGTACAGGTAAAAAGTTAACCTATCCAGCTTCAGAACTTGCATGTTAGTCTCCATTATTATCGGTAAATCTGGACCCCCTCTTGTGCTAAAGCCTAAAAACTAATTGTTAATTAGGAAAGACAACGCTAAGAACATTTGCTTGTAAATATACAGCGGAATCTTCTCTACTTGAGATTTGATAATGTGCATGCCATGTTTTGAAGTATAAGGCAAGGCTCTGTGGATCAAGTGAAAAAACAGATGGTACTTTTCAGGGTTAGGTTAAAAAAGCTGCCCTCTTCGATTGAATAAATAGGATTAAAGAAACACAATTTTTAGAAGATATATTTAGCTCTCATAGGTTAGATATATGTGTTCTAGGGTTAAGAACTCGAGTAAATGTTTAATGTGTGGTGCCTTTGTGTTGTGTCTCTCGAGTTAAGAATTTATTAATCTTTTACAAGTTATATAACTTAGGTGTAGAGGCGCCTAACTTTTATAACATATATTAACTTTTACAAAACAAGCCTAAGTTACATGAATCCAAATTTTTAGGCCTATTGCATTATATTGCGCAGCACAATCCAAATATATATTACTCAGAGTTCAAACTCTACACTTAATATTCCTAAAATTAGACTAACTATTGAGCCAGTTTGGTTATGCCTTATGGGAGATTGCACCCTAAAAATCCATTATTTCATTGTTTTCCACTCATAAATAGCATCTTCCTCCTCTTTTATATTCTAGTTTCAGTATATATTTGTTAACCTTTTTCTTTTTATGGTTTTAATGTGATTTTAGATGTGTTTCCATGATCTAAATATTATTATTTGTAGTCAAGTAATTTGATATTCCATCTCTCTTACCTTGTCTTTAACGGTCTTTCTTGATGTTACATGGATAGTGCGCCTAGTAGTTCGAAAATACTTGACTAAAAAAATGGAAAATTAGGAAACAAAGGTTCATATATTACATTCTTCATATTTTTCCCCCATCCTTTGTAGGTAAAATACACACACCTGGCTATCTCCACACTGTAGGGACCAAATAAGTAGGTTTCCCACCCCTTCAGATGAGGCTATAATTCCTCAAACAAGACTCTCGTTCGACAAACTTTTTGGTATTGGCTATGAGAGAGAAATATTTGAGGTAGGAGAGAAAAGTGGAAAATCAGAATAAAAAAGACAATATCGAAAAAATTAATTGAGCAAAATATTTAAGYGTTTATTGGTTAGAATATAAAAAAAAATGCCGTTAAATTTTTCATTGTTAGATAGTACTAAGTATCGTTCATGATGGTTTTGCAACTCTTCCCACCTATTTTTTGTACAGAGTAATTTTCCAAAACCATTCTCATAGCATGGCTTCTGTCTTTCCTTTTTTAGGCTTATTTTGAAAAG